GGGAGGCCTAGGGGCCAGGGAGATGGCTCAGTAGAATAAGCACTTCCCTGGCAAGCGCAAGAGGCTGAGTTCAAGCCCCAGTTCTGGAAAAAAAAAAAAAAAAAGGGAGGCCTGGAGAAGAAACATCACTTCTCAGGGTTGGGATGGGAACCCAAGACTTCAGGGCAGGGTCTCATTTGACAAAGCACCATTCATGATGTCCTGGGGCCAGACGGAAAACAAGATGGGCTACAGCAAAGTTCTGTAGAACCGAGGTGGCTCAACAGCCTACTCCAAGGGTCAACAAGAGAACTGGAGTCAACCTGAGGACAGGGCTCTAGCAAAGGCCCACACTCACCCCACTCAAGTCCTTGTCACACATGTGGATGCTGACCGGGGCCAGGAGGGGCAACCGAGGTGCCGGAGGTACAATTCCTGTGTGGCCTGCTCTCCATAAACAACAACGAAGGACAATCTCACAAATGACAGTGCGGGGATGAATATAAAACATTTAGCTCCAATGCTGCGCTGGCCCCGCCCCTGGGGTGGGCTGAGACTGGGATTGAGACTGGGCATGATAGCACACACCTGTAATCCCAGTGCTTGGGAGGCTGAAAAACCGGAAGGATCACTGAGTCCAATCTGTGTGGTGAGACCCTATAGACCCTATACTAAATATATAAAATTTTTAAAAATTAAAAATTAAAATTTAGCTCTAAAAACTCACCGCCAAATCCTCGCAGGGAACCTCCTGTTTGCACAGTAAATTATGTGGGAAAGATATAAGGATATCCCAGACTCAGCATGAAGAAGTTCGGAGGATGCCTGCTGTGAATCAAGGGGCATCTGACCCTCAGCCACAGACACAGGAAGTACACAGCCCAGAAGGGAGGAGCAACATGCTCCCTGACCCAGCTCCGGTGCTCGCCCCTGACAGGATAAGGGGGTCATGAGGGGCACCAGCTCCGAGCAGAATGCCCAGCTTGGAAAGCGGACAGGAAACAATCACACAGAGCCCCAGCTGCCTCCTCTGTGGTACAGGGCAATCACAGTTCACGCCACTTCATAGAATTGGGTTTGGGGAGCTGTCCTTACTGCAGTGCTGAAGATCAAACACAGGGCTTCGGGCCTGCAAATAAGCAAGGGTTCCTTCCACCCCTCGGCTCAAATAAGCAAGGGTTCCTTCCACCCCTCGGCTATGCCCAGTGCTCGAGGGCTGAGGAGAGGACTGAGTTACTGCCTTGAGGGTGCTGAGATCGGTGCTTGGCTTGCTCCTGACACTCTGGCTCTGCAGCAGGAGCGAGCACTGCTTACAGTCCTCTCTATCTTCTGGATATGAAGTTCGTATGCTTCCCAGATCGCTGAAACCTTAGCCCAAGGGACATCTGGAGGTGGGGCCCTTGGGGTGGAGGCCAGGAGGGTGGAACGGCCTTCACCAAGGGCCTCCCTGCAAGGACACAGCAAGAGGGAGCCACTTTGGCGTGCGCCTGTGAAGAACCAGCCTCAGAGCACACTGACCCTGCTGCCGCCTTGGTCTTCGGGCCTCCAGAACCTGAAGATACATTTCTAGTGTTCCTAAGCTTCCCTGGGGGGGTGTTTTTGTTTTTTGGTTTCTTTGTTACAGCAGTGAGAACAGACGGAGGCTGCGTCCAACGTACCTGCCCGGAGCGCAGAGAGACAGAGAGGCACCTAGCAAGCTGTGCTGAGGAAGTCCTGCTGAGTATCGGAAGTGAAGCCTCATCCTGAGAGGGTGGGAAGATGTTAAATGGCCGGGGTTGCTCAAAAATGGAGCAGGAATCGGTGGGTGCGGTGGCTGGGCCCACAGGCACTGTGGGTATGGTAGGCTGATCAGTTTGACACCCCAGGACGTCACCATCCCCCAAGACTCTGTGCTCTCCATGCGCACCATCCCAAGGTCCCTGGTGGGGGAGGGTAGTGATTGTCACCCCATGCTTCAAGAGGAGACCCAAGAGGGCTCCTGGAGTATCCTCTCGCAGTGACAGGGCGTCTGGGACTCTTCCCTCGAGGCCATCCTGCCCTTCCAGGACACGCAGAAGCCCTGGCAGGGCTTGATGCAAATAGTGCTCGATTTCCCAGGCTAAAATTACATCTTGAGTCAATTTTCATAAAATGTAGTGACAGATTTAGGTGCTGGGAAGATGGGGATTTCTCAGAAGGCATCAAAATGACCCGAGTGGTTAAAATCAGCTGAAACCTGGTGGCCAGGGCCCCAAGTGCAGCCCCCACTTGTCTGGCCCAGGCTGGAGAACCAAGTGCTGCCTGACCCTGTCCCAGGATTCACTCCAGGACCAATATTCTGGGCCCAGAGAAGCGATTCCCACCCTTTCCCCACCCCCAGGGCAAGGAACAGCAGGCAGCTGAAAGGCAGGGAGCGGAACCTCTCGTGAAGGGGGCAGCCTCTGTGATCTCCAGGGACCCCTGCCAGGGCAACCTCACCCTGCCCTCCGGGGCTCCTGCCTGTGTCTCCCAGTCCCAACCCTGTGTGCAGGCCACGTTCAGCTGCCTGAAGTCTGTGTTAGGCATCACTGTGCCCCAGTACCTGGCCTTCCTCCTCACTGCTCTGCACCCAGAGGAGACAGCCCAGGGACTTATGCAGCACTGCCCTGAGACCACAGGGTGGGAAGTGAGGGAGGGCGCTGGGCTGACTGTATCGCTCCATGAAGGTCCCTGCCCCCTCCACCATCCTCCTAGGGTCCCAGAAATCCGTCCTTATAGATCCGCTGGCCTGGGGCAGCTACACCCCACACCTGCCACCTGTGACTCACCAGCCTCATGGTCTCGTCATTCACACTGTGCGTGTCCCCTACAGGACTGAGCTAAACCCCTGGTCCTCAGGGTGGTGGCCATCGGCGGACTCAATGAGACACTGATCTCTTCCTTCTCTTGGCTCCTGGTGTGAGTAGTACTGACCCCACCACAAGCCCAACGTCGACCGTGAGCCAGGACCAACGCTGCCAACCTTTCGTCTCTGCACATCAGCATTTAGGTATTTTATCATAGTGACAGGAAGCTGGCTAACGCTCCCTCGCCCCTTTCTTCCATTCCCCAACAACACAGGGCAGGCAGCCTCTGCCTCCTGGCCGCTCTCTGGGCCTCTGTAACTGCCACAACCTTTGCTCGTGCACCTCACTAAGCTCCTCCAAGCACACACCCACCAGCTCTGCACCCCTGAACCCAACTCTGCCACCCAAGGCTGGTCCTCCTGCTCTGCTAGAGCAGTAGCCTGAGCCGGGGGAGGCCTGCAGTCCTGCCCCCCACAACGCTCTCTGCTCTGCATCTTGCACCTTTCAAACCAGATGGCCTCAGTGTAGATTCAAATGCCATTTGAAAAAAACCCAATGACCTGTCAAGGCAATTTAGCCGAGTGTGGCATCCTGGCTGCAGCTCTGGTTCTTTCACACTCCCCTCTCATTCCAACCCTCCCTCCCTTGCTGTGACCAGGGAGATAGGTCAGAGGCTTAAGTCCCTGCCTGGCAAGCACAAGGTCCTGAGTTCCATTCCAAAAAGACCTCGCTCCTTGCTGCAATTCCTCTTAGGCACTGCAGACCCCCTGGTTCCCATTCCCCCTTTCAGCAACGCTGCCTTCTCTTCTCTGTATCATCTCCCCCTTTTCCCCAATGCTTGGCCCGTTGCTCCAGACACCCACCCCCCTCCCGCCTGCAAAGCCAGGGGCTTCAGGTGACAGCAGGGCCACCCACCTTCCCTGCTCCACCCTGGGGCACTCTGTGCTAACAGGGCTTAGCCAAGTCTCAATTGCAGAATGTAATTAAGGCTGGCCCAGCGGCGCCCTTCGCAAGAGGCCCTTCCCGACTTGTCTTCATGAATCACTAAGACATTAGCACATTCCTGGTTCCCGGGAAGCTCGCAGTAATTAGCTCACTTAAGTAGGCTAAACGTTTCCTAGCAATCTGGTTTATGCTTCGATGACGGGCTTAGCATCCGGGAGAAGATGAAAATGTCACCTCTGCCCAGACCCTCTGGAAACATTCCCTACAGGTTTTCCAGCCCGAATTCACCCCTCTTGGCCACGCGCTTCTGCTAAATCTGGTGTGGGACCAGGCAGGGCAGGGGAAGTCTCAGCTAAGTCTCCAACTGGAGCCTACAGCGGCCGGCCGGCGGTCTGGTGACAAGTGGGTGGGTCGGGGCTGCCAAGGCCTCGAGGATCACAGCCTCGGCCCTGACTTTTGTCCCCTGTATGAGCCTCTTCCAATCAGCCCAAAGAGCCAGTTCAGTTTCCTGCTACCCAAGGTGGCTGTGAGGACCACAGGACACCAGCTGCAGCTCCAAGGCCCAGCAAGCTCCAAGGCTGCACATCCCACAGGAAAGAAACAACATCCTTCCTCCACCCCTTAGCTGGCTGGGCAGCACCCCCCCCCCACCTAGGAGGAGCAGGAGAAGCAGCAGGGACTCCCAGGACCCCTCCTCTGATCCCTGTCTGCTGCCCTTCCCAACCCTGCACTCCCTTAGCAGACTCAGGCCAGAGTTCAATCAGACTGCAGCTGCAGCTGCTAGGGCGCCTTACTCTTAGGAGCCGCAGGGGCAAGGGTCCAAGGCACAGCAGGGGGAGAGACTAAGGGTTGTGCTGGGATCTCTGTGTTAGGCTGGAGGACAGCGAAGGACTCCGTGGAGCAAGGTCAAAATCAAGATCTGACAGGCGTGAGGAGGGGCCACAGGAACAGTGGTGGGGAGCACAAAGGCCCTGATATAGGAGGAGTTGAGGCAGAATGGCAAAAGGCAGAGCTCTGGACCTCTCTTCATGCACCTCTAAGGGACCAGGGCACCAGAGCACATGGAGCAGGGCTTGAAACACAAAGACAGTCCGCTGCAGATGCGACTTGGAGCTAGGTGGGGTGCTCAGGGCCCAGGCCACCGAGGGAGGTCACAGTGAACCTGGGGCTCCCTGAGGACAGCCTTCATGGGCTCTTGGGTGCGGCAGGCAGACCGCTTCCAGTGGGGTCTCCCTGGGAGATGCGGGGGGCGGTGGGAAAGGGCAGACCTACCTCCCGCCACTGCTTGTTCTCCATCCCTTGGGTATACATGACACACACTGTGGAGGGAGAGAGAGAAAGGGTCACAGGTGGGCCAAGAGGAAGCATGGCCGCCCCGTGGGGCCAGGCAGGGTAGGCGCTTCAGAATGGCAGGGGCTCAGAGAGGGACCTAAGTGTGGCCTCTGACCCCGGAGCACAGCTGGCTCTGGATGTTCCAGCTCCAGGAGGTGGCTAGTGCCCAGCTGTGTCCAAAGCAGGGACCAGCGAGGGGTGATGCACGTGGGCAGGGTCTGGGTGGCAAGGCAGCTGCCCTCTCCAGAGCCAGCAAGGTCTCTGCTTCCTTGAGGAGGACACAGAGACTTGAGAGAGGCTAAATGTCCGTCCAAAGCTGCACACGTGGCAGCCTTGGTCGGCGCTAGGACCTTGCCCTCCCAAAGCACAGCCAGTCCTGCTAGACCACAGCCAATGGGGCTTGGAAGTACTCTGGTCCCCTAGCACCGAGGCCTTTGGGTCCAGGACACCTCAGCCCTTCCAGCCCACTGTGTCATGCTGGGGTATCCCAAGCAGGGGCCAGACAGGGAAACCCCAAGTTCTCCTTCTCTGGAGCATTCGGCAGCCCAGATGCACTGGGGGGGACAGGGCGAGGCGCTCAGTGTGCGATGCTGCAGTCGGTCCTCAGGCTGCTGCCATCTCTGCTAACCGTGGCAATGGGACTTACACGGGTCGGACTTGGAGAACATGTCTTTGTCCAAGAGGTTCCTGGAGGGGAGAGAGGAGTTAGCGGATGGGGCAGGGCCCAAGGTGGGCGGGTCCCTATTAAGTGTCCTCAACTTCCAGCCCTGCTCCAGGTGCACCCTTCGGAAGCTGCTTGCCACCCTCACTAGGGCACTCAGCTTGTCCCGCCCTCACCCTCAGGTGCCACCCGAGGCCCTGATCCCTGGGCCTCTCACTGGCCAAGCCCTTTCCTTTCATCACTTCTCTGTCCCAATCAATCATCAATCATATCTTGTATTCAAAATGCAACCCTCACAGCCATCACCGAAGCCCTCAGCATTAACCGCTTGCTGGGCAACCTGATTCCAAAGTCAACCCCAGCACCCCGTCCCTACCCTCGGGCACAAGCCAGCCAGACAGACAGACAGACAAGACAGCACAGAGCCTGGTACCAAGAAATGGCAAACTTAGAAGCCAGGGTGGGCCCAGGCCACATATGTAAGTCACCTCTGACGCAACGAGGTCCCCAAGAGAGGGGCGGCCCATGGGAATCCAGACGCTGTGACTTGGAAATCACCTGATACACCTTTCAGCCCCATGAGGGGGCCTCAGATGTAACGACACAGGGACAGGCCTGGAGCCTGAATGTGCAAGCGCCCGGATGCAGACAACCCCCCATGGGGCCCTGCTCCTGCCCAGCCCTGCATCTAAGGCCAGGCACTATCTCCATTCCAGCAAAAGACCAATTGTCTGGGAACCTGAGGCAACTCCAGACTGCAGGTGCTTTCTCTCCAATTTCTGTTTTGGGAGAGCTCAAAGAGACATTTTTTTTTTCCCCAACAGGAAAAATGTATTTTTCTCCACCAAAGGAGCACAAAACCCTTCAACTCTCCATCCAGAAGCCTGGAGTTTGGCTTCTTTTGTTCCTAAATCAAGGCCAGGAAGGCAGAGCCGGCTCGACTCCTGGCTTCCCCCAAGGAACCGTTTCAATTCAGAGGCTGTGAGGACGGTCACCCACTGAGCTGCGAGGTCAGGAGTTACCCAGGTCCCAGCTGAGGCAGAAAGCATTGGGAAGGCGAGATCCGGGGCCACTGGCAGATGACCTCGTCCCTGGCAGAGGTCTAAGAGAGCTGGGGGTGGGGCTGGGAGCCTCACCGTCCCTGTGGGGGGGTTTGCGGGACACTGCCTCGACCTGAGATGCAAGCTGACAGGCCCCTCCTCCTCCCGGGTCATCCATGTACAATGCCGCACGGAAGCGCCAGGCAGTGACCTGGTAGCCACGCAGGTGGCAGCACAGGTCGAGACGACATCCTCACCTTTCCCTGGGCCAGGGACCCTCAGTGGGAGCCACGGACCCCAGAACTGGGCGGACGGGATGTTGGTTTGTACACACCGATGTGTTTGCTCACGAATTCCCAGATATACCGGGAGACTGTGAACACTGAAAGGAACTGGTTTCTCTTGCTCCCCAAACCTGCTTTGGGCACCTCTGGGGTCAAGACCAGCTCAGCCTAGCTGTGTGACCTCAGGCAAACCACATAATCCCTCTGCACCTCAGTATCCCCAGGGGCTTGTTGGGGTTAACAAAATTTACCTATGCAAAGCATTAGGGAAGCATCAGGCCCCTGGCAAGTGGCACTTTGGTACCTGGTACTCAGGAAGTGCTCAGGAAGGCCCAGGGAGATGGCGGCAACTGGGAAGCTCCATTTCTTCTCCTCCCTGCTCTCTAAGCCTAGCGGGAGCAGGGCCTGCAGGATGGGTGATTTGGTGCAAGAACAGGAATCATGGAAGGAGGCTGTGATATTTTGACAGCATTTCAGGTAGAGCAGGCTGAGTAGATTGTGCTCTGGCTGCTGTGAGGAGGGGTGGGAATTGAGTGGTGTTGCCAGTGGGGCCCTGGGGACCTCCAGGAGCAAGTGGCCAGTGCAGAGTGACAGAACTGCTGTGTGGCTACATGGGTGACCCTGCTCAGGTGTACTGAGGCCAGAGTGAATGCTCTTAACTTGGCCACCATTTTTTTTTTTTGTACCAGGGATTGAACTCAGGACCTTGTGCTTGCCAGGCAAGCGCTTATTCTACTACTGAGCCATCGCCCCAGCCCTGCTTGGCCACCTTGAGAGGGACAATTAATGACAGTAATGAAAATAAAGGCAGAGTGCCTTTATTTCAGACCCCTCTGACAGAACCCCATCTTTCTATGGAGCAATGAACTTATTTCATTTACTGTTTTTTTTTTTTTTTTGGTCATTTTGGGGCAGGGTCTCACTGTGTAGTTCAGATTGACCTCGAGCTCACTGTGCAGCCCAGGCTGGTCTCCAACTTGCAGCAATCCTCCTGCCTCAGCCTCAGAGTGGTGGGATTACAGGTGGTGGGGCAACTAATTTAATAGCAAACATCTGGCAAGTCGGGTGGGGACGGTGACACACCTGTCACGTATGCAGGCCTGTTGGGTATACAACCTGTGCCAGGTGGTGAGGGTCATCCACACGCTCCGGGCTGGGCAGACCTCTGCGGTTCCAGCCCTTTGGGGGTGAGCAGAGATCCCATGCATCACCAAAACCTAAGGCCCTCCCTTGGCCCTTGTGGCCAGCAGGGTCCCTGCTGTTACCACTGCCCTGCTCCTGCCACACAGCCTCGACAAGTTCTGAAGAGCCATTTTCACCCAGCTTAAAGAATTGTCTGATGGATCGGGGAAATAGCTCAGTAAAATAAGCGCTTGCCTGGCAAGCGCAGGGTCCTGAGTTCAATCCCTACTACCGAAAAAAAAGAATTGCCTAGCAGCCAGGCATGGTGGCGCACTCCTGTAATCCTAGCACTCAGAAGGCTGAGGCAGGAGGATCACTGCAAGCTCAAGGCCAGCCTGGGCTACACAGTGAGTTGAAGGTCAACCTGAACTGCACAGCAAGACCCTGACTAAAAAGCAAACAAACAATGCAGAACAGTTAGAATAGATATACAGCTACTTTCGCTTAATTCAATGAGATTTGTACTAATAGTGTTTGGACAGGATATTCTGCCTGCATCTTGTACTATGGATAACCGCTAAGAAGATAACAATGTACAATGTATTAATTATTGAAAGTGTCCTATTAATCAGTTTTGAAACTGTCTCATTAATATTTGTTTCTCAATAAAATAAAATTTAAACAAACAAAATTGCCTACCTGGGCACTCTGCCTTTATTTTCATTACTATCATTAATTGTCCCTCTCAAGGTGGCCAAGCAGGGCTGGGGCGATAGCTCAGTAGAATAAGCGCTTGCCTGGCAAGCACAAGGTCCTGAGTTCAATCCCCGGTACAAAAAAAAAAATGGTAGCCAAGTTAAGAGCATTCACTCTGGCCTCAGTACACGAAATGCTGTCAAAATAACACATCAGCCTCCTTCCATGAGCCCCATGGCTGTGACTGCACCCTACCTCCTCCGACCCCTCCTCTTCCGCTGCCCATCCCCACTGTCCCAGCTCCGTGGTCTCCCTGCGGTCTGGCAGGCATCTCAAGGTCTCTCCCGCCACTGGGCCTTTGCACTTGCTGTCCACCCTTCCCCAGAGCCTCCCGTGGATCTCAGCTCAGCATCCCCTGCCTGGCCTGGCCAAAGTGTCTCCATCTGCACTGAACTTCCTCGCAGAGCGTTCATCCCTGTCAGACACCATTACTGCATTTTTAAAAAATGTGTCTCCATATACCCCATCCCTCCCGCATTCCACCAGGGAAAGGAATTCATCTATGTTGTTCAGAGACTCCTTCATCTCTCCTGTCTTCACAGTGATGGATAAGACGTGAGCACAGGCAGGATCTCCCACCACTGTAAGAATGGGCAGAGTTCAGGGCTGGGGAGATGGCTCAGTAGAATAAGCGCTTGCCAGGGCCTGAGTTCAATTCCCGGTCCTTCCTTTGTGCTTAGACAAAATCCCCCATACCCACAAGGTAAAGGAAAGACAGATGTGTTTTCAGCCCAATTGGCTGGCTCCATGTAGGAAGGCAGGGTGGCAGGCCTGGCGGAGGACGGCTGCCCCGGGCGTGGTGGTGGGAAGCAGAGGTGGGGGGCTGCTGGGAGGGAGACAGAACCTTCCAGGCCACTTCCCCAGGGACCCCACCTCCTCACAGCAAATCAGTTTTGCACTCCAGAATACAAGCACCTCCCAGAAGCCCTGCATAGGAGTGCGTGGAGCTCATGGGGCACATCCGGGTGGAACCATAACACACACCGAGGCCAGAGACTTCCAGGGACCCGGAAAGGATCTGTCAACACCCAAAGGCACCGAGCACCCCGCTGAGAGTTTCAGGGGCTGAGCAAGGGTGGCAGGGGGATTGGGGACACAGAGGCAACTGGTGCTGTCCTGAAATCACACTGTGCCTTTTCCTTGCCTGACATATGAGCAAACAGACAGGCAGTCAGGAGTGTCACCTAGGTGGCCGTCCAATGCCCACAGGAAGATCTGAGAAGCCAGACCCCAAGACACCAACCCTAGGCTTCTTCTAGCTCCAGGGAGCTCAGCTTGCCCGTGGGGACATGTGGAAAGCTCCCTGGTGGCAGAAGCTGTGGCTGCATCTCTGGAAAGCCTCCCCCACTCTTCCTGCTAGCAGGATCCACACTGGTTCAGATCTGACGCAGAGCCCTGAAGCCCCAGATAAAGATCCCGTCTTGGCTAGGGCTAGCACACATCAGCTTGGCCACTAAAGCAGAAAGGAAACACCACTAAGAGAACTTGGGAGGGATTGCGCTTTTAGATGAAAACAGCTTTAATTCCATGTTTTGTTCCCCATCCTTGGATGTAGTTGTGCTATCTGGTACAGAGGCACCCTCACTGCGGAGTGAGGCCACTCACAGAGTTGACTTCAATCCGAAGCAGCATTCCTAACAAAGTCCACTTCCCTCTGCTGCGAAGTTGTCCAACCTCCTTTCCCTACTTCCGCCCTGCCCTGCACTCCCAAGGGTGGGTCACTGCCATCAGTGACCCCAGGCCCGAGCAGGGAGGCTGTGGCTTGCGACTGGGGAAGGTGAGCTACCACCCCTGGCTTGAGGAGAGAGCATCGCCCTCTGGATCATACCTACTGTTGCTGGTCCCTGCGCCCCGTGCATGGTCTGCACGGGGCCCCCAACCCCCAGCCCCATCAAGGTTTTGAGGTCCAGAGAAACTGGAGTTGGATCCCCTCTCTCAGAAAATGTACAAACTGTGGGGGCCGGGGAGATGGCTCAGTGGAATAAGCGCTTCCCTGGCAAGCATAAGGGCCTGAGTTCAATCCCCAGTTCCACCAAAAAAAAAAAAAAGAAAGAAAAAGAAAATGTACAAATTGTATAAACATGGGTGGGCCCCTTAACACTCCCAAGCACTGATTTCCTAGTCAGCGGAGAAAATACTATTCCCTATCTCACAGAGCATCCTGACACTAATGAGATACAGGGGCGTGGCAAGCAGAAATGCAAGGTGGTTCCGAGTGCCCACCCCCCAAGAGCAGGGGGAATAATCCCCTCCCCCAGTGGGCAGGTGTGGCACTGTCACTCAGGTACCCGCATTAGGAGACGCAGAAGTCCCGTGACTACAGATCTACTGTTACCTGGGACCCCTGCGGCACACTCATGCCCCCCTCCCCAGCTGTGAAGTCCTGTGAAAGGGTCACTTAGTGGGACCTGAAGACAGCCCCTCCAGGCCGAGTCACTCTGTCCACAGCCAGCAAGAGCAAAGAGCTGTCATCTTGCAGCTGCAAGGAGCTGATTCCTGCCAACAACCAGAAGCCCTGGCTGAGATCAGAGCCCTGCAGACACCTAGCTGTCAGCTACTGAGTCCCCCAAGCTCGGTTAACCCGGATCTGGGATGGATCTGCAGAACCAGGACCAGCGACTGACTGTGTGAGGTCCAGCCCAGTGGAGAGGCCCGGCACCTGGGCATAGGAAGCACTCAGTAACGTGCTGTTGCCACCATCCCGGCTCGGCGACACACAGCGCCTTGGCACAGTGTGTGGCTAAGCAGACCTCTTTTCCTGGCACTGGGTTGACTAAAGGCTGCACAGGCCCTTGGTCACCATGCCCTCTGCCTCTGGTGATGAGGACAAAGCACTCCGAGTAGAGTCACACCCTCCTGCGAGGCCCTGGGGCAGCAGAAGGATCCCAGCCTGCATGATCTGAAGACAGCAGCTGCCCACCAGCCCAGGCCGTGGGGGCAGAGGCTCCTTTCTGAGGTTCTGGGGGGCTACTGGCCTCTCCCTTCTGTGGGGCTGGTGACCCTGTACATGCTTTGCTGGCAGGACCCCGCCCCAGTGCAAAGGTTTCTGTTACATAAAACATGCAGAGCTTTCTCGCTAAACCTGCGGCCTAGATCCCTGCATCAGATGACAGAGGCACAGAGACCTGAAAAATAATGGGGACTGGGAATGGTACAGCAGACAGGGAAGATGGATAGGGGCTGCCAGGTGGCTATGAAGCCAGGAAAGGTCTGGGACCCACCACTGGAGGACAGGCAGCTTTTGGCTCCAGGGAGAGGGGTCTTTCAAGCCGTATTTTCTACAACCTCTGTGGACCTCTAGTTGTACAAACCGTCTGCCCAATCCACTCTCAAAACCATCACAAAGCCAAGCACTGTAGCAAACACCTGTAGAATCCCTACACTTGGGAGGCTGAAGCAAGAGGATCAGCACAAGCAACAGTAAGTTCAAGACCAACCTTAACTACATAGTGAGACCCTGTCTCAAAACACAAACTACGTCCTCAGAAGATGAGAAACTCTTATGTCCCCAGAACCCACACAAATGTGGTACCCAGCTACAGAGATAGATCTTTATTTACTTCCAGGTGTCAAATAATAGAATAAACCACTAACCAGCGATTAATCCTCTCAACTGATACGATTGTTACACTTCTTTTACAGACAGGAAAACTGAGGTGTGAAAAGGCTACATAGTTGTCCCAGTGTTAGACTGAACAGATGACAAAATGCCAGGGCTCCCCCCCCCAGCACCGTGCCAAACAAGCAAAGCCTTTCTGGCCCCAAGTTTACCAAAGTCAGGGAAAATAACTGTGTGGGTTTGGATTATTGCTCTCAGCCCACATCACCATCCACCTGCAGCAGGGACCTGAGTGTGTCCCCTGTGGTCTCATCCACCTTCCCTAGAGCCGTGGGTGGGAGCCCTGGTGTCCCTGTGCCTGCAGCCCACAGCAGGTGACCAGGTCCTCCTCTGGGCAGGGCAGTAAGCTCCTGAGGCCAAAGGGGTAGCAGGAACCTTCACAGAGAGTGGAATCCCTCATGATCCCCTGCAGCCCCAGGCCTTGCCCACTGCCGCTGCCCACGCTGAGCCTACCCTGATGTCCCCTGCCCTCCTGCAAGGGTCTCCCAGATGCTCAGGGACACCTTGCCTGTCCCCCAGGATCTGCAGAAGGAGACCTGACTCTAAGTGGTTTCCAGAGCAAGGAAAGTGGGAGCGGAAACTGCTCTGCAGCTCTCTCCTCCGCACCCCCTTTGTTTTCCTCCTTTTCCTCTCCTCTCCCACCCCAACTCCTGCAACCTGGAGAATGAACCAGCAAGCAGGTGGGTTCCTGTCCCTTTTACTTCCCACCTGTCCCCACGACTCCGCCGCTGACCGCTCCTCACCAAAACCCACCTCCCATCCATTTGCTTCCTGGAGAGTAGGAGTAGGCCAGAGGCTCCTCAGGCTGAAGGGATATCAGATATCCTCCGTCCCCAAGACACCCAAGTCGACCCCGACAACTTGTCCTCCAGGGACAGATGTGTCCCCAGGCACCCCTCTGTGTCAGGTGAGTACATTCTTTGGACACCTCCAGGGAGCCAACAGGCCGGGCCAAGCCCTACCAGGTAGCCATCGTCACTACTTCTGAGCACCCACTGCGTGCCAAGAGAGGGGAAAGCCAAGCGCCAAGTGCTTTGTGCTCCCCTGCTCCTGCCAGCGGCGTGTGTGCCTGCATGCCAGGCATGGTTCCAAGTCTTCATGAACAGCCCTCCCGTCTGAGGACAGGTACTTGACAAATGGGAAAACTGAGACTTTGAGTGTGCCCCAAGAGACTCCCTGACAGGATGCGCACCTCCACATGCCACACTGTCACCTGTCCTGTGTGCTCAGCTGCCTGCCTTGGGGGTTTATGTGTTGCCCCAGTGAGTGGGACTGCACCCTAAGATGCCCTCAGTGGCAAGTGACCCTGGCCCTGGGGTAAGAGCTTCACACCGGTGGCTCAGGGTGAGATGATGCCTTCCAGGATGGGAGACCTAGCTGGTTGGGGAGCAGAGCCTCCAAGGAACTGAACAGGCTGCTCAGGCTGGGAGTGGGAGGGGTTCAACTGAAAGCAGCTCATGATGGGGCCGGAGGGGCTGGGAAGGAGGTGAGAAAGGAGCTAAGGGGTCATGGGGTCCCATCGCAGTGACAGCAGAGATACAACGCCATGTGTCTCCAAGGGGGGCACTGCCAGCCTGGTGTCTCCAGCTCTACCTACAATGCCCCAGTGTCACAAGTTTTCACATAGAGCTGGGGTCCTGGAAGAATCTGACAGAAGAGTGACTTGGGAGAAGGGAATTGGGGTGAGGACAAGGGCTCAGCCAGGACAGTGGCATTTTGGGATGGGCAATGTCTGGGTGACGGGGCCCCTCTGCATGCAGCAGGCCCTGAGGGCTGCCAGAGTGGCTGTATGGGGGACCCCACCTTTGGAGGGGCATGACTAAGGATATGGGGGTGGCAGACCACAAAACACTCCTACACTTCCTCTGTCGGGTTCTGAAATTTCAGGGTCCCATTCCTCTGGCTGAAGGTTTTTGACGCAAGTTACTGTTTTCTAAAAGGGTGTCCCTTGAAGTTGTTATGGGTTCCTAGACCATGGCGGGAAGCAGCAAGCCCTGCCGACCCTTCCAGGGTCTGGAGGTGCAGGAAGCCTTTGCAGCCCTGGGGTCAGAAGCGCAGGAGGGGAGGAAAAGAGAGGAGGGAGGGCAGGGAAAGCGGGCACGAGGGAGAGGCTGGGCCCCGCAGGGACCGAGCTAACCACTCACGTCTGGATTTATCCGGGGGTCGCGGGAGGTGGCCTGATCGGGGACCCCGGGGGACTCTCACCGTCTCCTTCCCCACCAGCTCCCGGCCCGGCTCCCGCGTCTCCCTGCTGTCCTAAAGGAACAGCCTGCAGCAACAGTGCAAACTTTCTGGGATGTGACACCCCACCCCACCCCTCACCCCACCCCCGCCTGGCCTCCCACCTGCCGTCGCTACCTACAGCCGGGCAGGGTCGGGGGTTCCGAGGCGAGGACATTCGGGGAAGGGGCCTCCTTTCGGCGGGGACGGCGACAGCCGCCGGGCTCAGGCCCAGGGGCGGGGCGGAGAGACTCACCTACAGGACACGGTGATCTCCACCTTGGTGGCCGGGATGCTGCCCGCCAAGGAGTCGAAGTCGCTCAGCGACGCCATATCCTCGGGCTGCTCCATCACCCACCGCACCCCCAGCCCAAGTCAGGCAATTCCTGCGCGACGTGCGCCTCCTCCGAGCGCCTGGAGCCCGGGCTCTCCCCCAACTCCGGTGCCGCGGCGGGCAGCGGGGCGGAGAGGCGCAAGCAGGGGGCGTGGGCAGCGCGGGGGCGGGGGCGCGGGGCGTGACGGGCCCAGGGGAAGTGGGGGCTGGAGGAGAGGGGGCTTGGGGAGAAGGGGAGCGGAAAGAGCAGGGGCGCGGGGCTGGGAGCTGGGGCGCAGCGCGCAGGCGGGGAGGGGCGCGGGCGAGCCGGCGGGGGTGGGAGCGCGGAGCTTGCACCCCGACTGCTACGCCCTTCGGAGGGTCTCGGCGCGGGCGGCGGCTGCGAGCGCCCCCTCCTCGGCTGGGGCTCTGGCTCCGGGGCTCCCGGGCTGCGGGAAAATCAAATGTGCCCGAGCCGCCGCTTCCCGCCCGCCCCCAAGTCCGCGCGCGCCGGAGGGGCCGCCCGCAGGGGCCGGGGCGGGGCGGCGGGCGGGGTCTGCGCCGCGTGAGTGTGAGCGTGTGTGAGTGTGTGTGCGAGCGCGCGCGTGGCGGCGTGGGGACGCGGGGACAGATGCGGGGGCCAGGGTGGTGGCAGCAGCGATGGTCCTGGGGGCGCGCGCCTGTCCCCCACCCCACCGAGGGTCCACAGCCTAGTGGGGGAGGGACACAGCCTCGTGAACCGAGGGGCACTTAAGGGCAGGGTGGGGCGACGTGTGCCCCCCCAAAATAAGAAACCCTCACTGCAGGGGCTGGAGAAGTGACTGGGTCCCCCCCCCCCCGAGTGCGCCCGGCCGGCCGGGGGTCCTGGCTTCCCCATCGCCCCCGGGCAGGCATGGGGGTTGACGCCAGCGCCCCAGAGGACACCCCGGATGCCCAGGGAAAGCCTTAGGGCCCAGCGGAGGTTGCTCGGTGGGTACCTCCGTCCCCCTCGTCGCGCGGGCCCTCAGCCACCCGCGCCCTCCTGCGTGCGCCCCGCGGGTCGTGACGCTCGGCCCCAACTGCGCCGGGGCTGCTAGCCTGCGAGGGAGACGGTGCGAGGTTCTGGGCCCTGCGATGGGGAGCAGGAGAGGGACTTGCCGCAGCGCCCACGGCAGCCCAGGCCGACCCGGAAGAGTCGCCCCTCCGGGCCTCGCCTGTGACAGCTGGGCCACAGGCAAGGTTTGAAGTGGATTCCCAAGACAGCAGACCGGGAGAGCCGGAGTCGGAAATAAACAGGAGAACGCGTTCCCGGGCGGGCGGGTGAGGACAGGCAGTTTCTGTTTTCCCCGTAGCTCAGAAACAGACGGCTGGGTTCTGCCACCTGCGACAGACAGCACGACGACAGATAGCACAGGGGACAGAGGGGCTGGGATTGCCCCGCGAGCAGGGGTGGGGAGACTGGGCCAGAAGGTCTCGCCTGAGGCCATTGATCTACAGGGACTAGTTCAGCCTCCTTTTCTTTCTTTTTCCACTTTTGAAATTTTTATTGATTTTAAATATAAACAAAATCCAGCTTGAACCACAAAATTCATCCAGTGGGACTAAAATGTTTTCAATATTTCTAAAACTGCTAATGTACGCAATAAACGAAATTAAGAGTCTAGTGTGAGGTGAGCTTTTCATTACAGTGGTTTATATATTTTCTTCAGGTGAATTAATATTTATTTTTGTACTAGAGATCGGACCCAGGGCCTTCACACTTAACTATGTCCCTATATTGTTTGTTTGTTTTGTTTTAATTTTTGAACAGGTTTTCCTTAAGATGCTAATTTGCCCAGGCTGGGCTTGGACTGTAATCTTGCCTCAGTCTCCCCAAGCTAGGATGAATTAAAATTTTAATGTGACATTTTAACTTTAATAGATCTGTACAAAAATATATTAAAAAGTGACTTGCCAGCAGGGCGTGGTGGCACACACCTGTTATCTCAGCACTTGGGTGGCCAAGGCAGAACTTATTGCAAGTTCGAGACCAGCCTGGGCCACAAAGTGAGCTCGAGGCCAGCCTGAACAGCACAGCAAGACCCTGTCTCCAAAAAAAAAAAAAAAAAAAAAGGAAAGAAAGAAAAAGAAAAGGGTAACTTGCCAAAATTTATGACTGTGAATGTGTTTAATGGAGTTTGTCTTTTTGAGACAGGGTCTCCCCATATAGCTCAGGCTGGTCTTGAACTTGCAGTAATCCTCCTGTCTCAGCCTCCCGAGTGCTGGGATGACAAGTATCTGTCACCATGCTGGGTTTGTGGGTGTATTTGAAACCACAGATCTGTAGGTCTGAGTAAAGAAGGCATGATGTTCAGATGTACTGCAGGTGGCCATGCCTCGGAGCACCCAAGTCGCCAGGCTCCAGGGCCTCCTCAGTTCCTGGGAAGGCAGGGCTAGCATTCTGCCCTCCAGTGGGACAGACACTGGGCTGCTCGACCTAAGGTCTGGGAGCTCTGTGTCCCCAGCCCTACGTACTGGCCACAGACAGTGCTCAAACATGCTCCTGGGCTGTGTCTCCAGCACTCACTGGGGACCTCTGTGTGCCCGGCCTGGTGCTGGGCTCACTTGGCAGATTCTGTCGCTAACAGCAAAGACCCAGGCCTATTTTCAAAGAGCTGGATCAGACATGATGTGCTTATTTATTTTTTTTTTTAAAAGATATTATTTGGGCCGGCCAGATAGCTCAGCGGACGAAAGCACCTGCTTAGGCAGAACACAGGAGCCAGTCTTTGATCCCCAGTGTGTGGTGCTGGCCTGGTCCCCCAGGGTGTACTGAGACTATAATTGAGACTGGGCATGGTGGCGCGCATCTGTAATCCCAGTGCTTGGGTGAGAACAGGAAAATCACGAGTCTGATCTGTGTAGTCAGACCCTGTAGACCCTGTACTGAATACGTTTAAAAAGAAAAAAGATATTATTCATGCGCCACAAACAGCTGGGGTTTTTTTTTGTTGTTTTGTTTCCAGAACCGGGGATTGAACTCAGACACTTGCACTTGCCAGGCAAGCGCTTGTTCTCCTGAGCCATCTCCCCAGCCCCACTAACAGCTGTTTTTAAGTGTGCAGTTCAGTGGTTTGTGGTATCTGCATAAGGACTATGCGTGACTTCAAATTCTCGAGAAAATGATAGATGTGAGCATTATCATCCACATTTTTTTTTTTTTTTTTTTGCGGAACCAGGGATTGAACTCAGGCCCTTGTGCTTGCCAGTGAAACACTTATTCCACTGAGCCATCTCCCCAGCCCCTATCATCCACATTTTGTTGACAAGAAATCATATATCCAGAGAGGCTGAGTCACTTGGCCTTCACCACCCAGCGAGAACTGCAGACTGAAGATTTGAACCCACACAGCTGAGACCAAAGCCCAGTGCTGAGCAGCAAGCACGAGGGTCTTTTGGGATGAGCCCAAATGGTAGAAAGTCTTAAAGACCACCCATGGGTGGGGTGTGGTGGCACATGTCTGTGATCCCAGCACTCGGGAGGCTGAGACAGAAGGATCTCCAGGAATTTGAGGCCAGCTTAGGCTACGCAGTGAGTTCAAAGCCAGCCCAGAACTGGTAGTGAGGCTTTCTCTCAAAAATAAGTAAATAAAATTTACCCTCAAAATGAGGTCCTGCCCAGGAGGGCAGGGACAGGGAGCCACCGCAGGTTGGTAAGCAGGTGAGTGTCGAGGCTGCCTGGGGAGTAGCAACCCTAGGGCCTCTTTCTAGAAAGACAGAGAACTTAGTCTGTGTAGGCATTGGCCCTGTTCTCTTTCGGCTGCTACATTTCCACTGCTGGTTCCTCAGCAAACCAGTACAACTGTACAGTGCCTGATCTGTCTTGGGCTCACAGCGAGCAGTCCGTATCTGTCCCTAAGACCTCCAGACCAGTGGGGGCCTTAGTGTGGGTACCTGTTGGGTGTCACCTCTGAGGCCAAGCCCAGGCCAGGAGTCACTTGGGAGGTCACGGAGTGCCAATACGACAGCAGGGACAATGCCACAAGTGAGGTCTAGAAGACTGTGCCCCTGACTCAGCCTGGGCAGGCCTGGGAAACCAGGGTGCCAGCCTCGGGGCTGAGGGCTGCTCCTGAGGGCACTCACTTCCTGTCCTCCTGGTCCACCTGGTACAGTAGCAGTGCAGGCCCCAGGAGCCAGGGGAGCCTTGGGCATACCGCAATAGCCTATCAGGTGCTGCAGGTGATGCTGAGGGGCTGGGCCAGGGCAGTGGCTGTCACAGTGGGCAACCTGCAACCTGCGGGGCAAGGGCAAGCAGGTGTGAGGCAGGCCCCAAGAGCCGAGGGCAGAACTCTGTGTTCAGGAGCCTCAGGGAGGCTGGCATAGCAGCAAAGGCTCACCTTCCCAGCTGGCCCCAAAGGACACCCCTCTTTGGGACCAACTGGGGGGAATGAGGACACCCAGCCGCTGCCAGGCCTTGCTCAGTCGGGAGAGGTGTGCTGGGTAGGTAGAGTGACCACAGTCACTTGGCAAAGCCCATGGGCAGGTGGCAGGTGCTGCAGGAGGAGAAACGGCCACACCTGCGCCCACACCACTGGTGCCTGGGCAGAGGAACCAAGCCACGTGCAGCCCTGATTAGGAGCCACAGGCACGGACTGGGCCGGGGCCAAATGCTCAGCCTCAGTGGTTTGCCCCTGCCTCAGAGCCGCACACGCGCTCACATCTGACCTAATCCGCGTGCTAATGATGGCAGAGCAATTTTGAGAGGCGACTTGCAGCATCCATAAGGAGAGGAAAAGCACCCAGGGCTCCTCGAGGAAGAGGCAGCTGCTGCCCTCCCCAGCCCCGCACAGACGATGCCCAAGGCCTGAGTGTGAGGGCGAGGAGGAGGGGCGGCAGAGACCCAGCAGAGCCAGACCCAAGCACCGGCCACAGGGCCATGAGCTAGGACAGCTTGAGGCTCCTTGGGCAGGTGTAGGCTGGATTGGAACCCTGCTCACGTCCAGCTAGAGGCTCTAGGGCAGTCAGCCCCTGCACCACTGTGCGTGGAGGTGCTGGGGACAGAGGGCCAATGGGAACTTGAAACCAGGAACAATAGAAACACTGGAAGGGACTTGGGGGGACAGTCCACAGGGGCACAGGAGGCTCCCCTTTGGCA